TACAATCAAGACGTGAGCACAAAGAAATCAAATTGGTTTTGTATCAGCTCGTAAAAACGAAATTGGATATTGGAAAGATTTAGGCGCTTTATTCCTACCATGTGTTACCGATGTACGCATTTCCTCTTTACGCTATTATTGAGCTTTGTTCCTCTTTTTGTGTTTATTTACGCTTGCGGCTGAAATATTATAACAAATCTTAGTTAAAGAATATCTATCCAGGGAAACCCCTAACCAAACGCGCAGTCAGATCATGGTAGTGAAACAGTAAAATTGTCATATTTTGCAGATATAAGCCGAAAAAGGGCAGTTGTATGTTTTTTCAGACTTTACTACCCAATCGTTCATGCCCAACAGTGCTTCTCTTATTTTTCCTTAATCGACTGACCGTCTGAAGGATATTGGTGCGTTCATCTCCCTTTGGATTGCTTTTCTTCAACTTCACCGTAATTGTTCAAATTATTCTTTACCTTAAGTAGGAGTTTATTACTACGTCTTAGTGAAACTACAGTCGCATTATGATGCGTAATTTCGCGACGATATATTCACTTCTTGCACCTGACACTCGACAAACAGATGAATGCAACGTGTTGACACGCCATTGTGACAGACTGTTTAATAAGTGTGTGTAGTAATTAGGGAGAAAGTTGCTTTGTGCAACCACAAGTCAGTAACCACAGGGTTTTTAAACCTTATTATCTTAAGAGTAATGTACTGTCTGAAACTGGAAATATCCAAAATTTCGAGTCATAGAAAGTTAGCTCATCTCTAAGTTAAGCGATTATGACTCATCTAATGAGTTTTACATTTCCATGGATCCTGATTGTGCAATGCATTCCTACGTATTTTTCTCTTACAAACATATAATAACTTCGTGGGTTGGTATGTTTTCGTATGACTTGTCTGATTCTGTGTCAGTAGAAAACCACTTTGACTTGTTGATGTGATGAAAAGTTTTTCTGTTTTCCTATAAAAATTATCAACCATCTCACTTGAAAAAGATCTTCAACTTGATTGATTGCCTCATCTCCTTTACCTGTTATAATCTCCAATCCCATCATTAGTCACTGTTTCCGAACCGGATGCTAGCACCTAAGTGGATGTACTTATGATGCAATGAACTGTAACTCTTCCATAGCTAACTGCTGTGTTAAACATATACCCTCCAGTTTGTAGCTAAATATCTTAAGGGCGCTAAAAATAACATGAATTAGGTAGATGTCAAGTGACCATTTTATGAGTAACATGTACGTTAGGTTCACTTGCCCCCCCCCCCCCAAAAAAAACATGAATTCGTTGAAGCCATTATCTTCACTCAAAATTTTATGTCGTGAAATCAAACTGTTTGTGTGCATATCACATTTATTCTACTACGTCAGTAACCAAAAATTCAATCTGGCAGTTTATTGCTAATAACAATATTGTTTACATGTTGGTGATCAGATATTCGTAATAATTCCAAAGATATTATTTAAAACCATTACTTTTACTTCTGCTAGGATTCCTTTTAACTTGAACTACATTACAGCATGAATACAGATTGTAAAAAACCTGTTTTGTTATGGGGTGGACTTGGCGGCTTTACGGTTGGAGCTATTGATTTCCTGAGGACAAGTAGGTGAATTTGTGTTTACAGCTTCCTCTCCAGGTAATCTTCGTCGTGGAGTACGAGTCGGCCTTATGTCTACATTGTTTATTGCGACATCTACTAAGTAAGTTTTCCTATGCAATATATATCTTAGATAGCTTAATTTGTCATCATATGAAGTTTAAAAATAAGCACCGAGGTCGGATGACTTTCTCCGATTTTAAAAAGCGGTTAGATGAAGAACTAGCTCAAAAATACTCCTCATTAAAATAGAAATTGTGGCATAAGCTAATCATTTACTGTATACAAATTGTACTTTGTCTTGTAAAATAAATCTTCTGTTAGCATAAAATGTTGTGTCTGTTTGCTTAACATCGTGTGGCAATGTTTACCCGTACTTTCCATATGACAAAACCGATTATTCTGCCTTCCTGATTTATTAGGTTGGTTATCCGAATTTGTGAACAGTAGTACAACAAAGGATTTGCTTATCTGGGTTTCATTTGTATTCTACTATTCGTGTATAGCTTGTAACTGAATGAATCTATGCCGAGTATATATGGCTTTCAGTAAATAATAATTTTGCCAACTTATCAACTAAAGTCACATAGATAAACAATATTTTTTATCGCTAGTTATAATTTGTCTATAATACATTGTGCAAGTCATTTTATCAGGTTATGCAGTTGTATCAACGCTTTGAAAACGGACTCGAGAAATGAATAACTAGCAGGTGCTAGATTTGGTAATAGCAGAGGTTACAAGGAAATTCTCATCCTCCCCTTTGATACGACTTCGAAGGAAGTGATTTCTCATTCCGAATCATCCAATAAGCATAAAAAGTTTCAGTAGCTTTAAATCTCGCAAATAGAGCTAGAAACATTTTGACCGGTAACTACGATACGGAGAATGAAATCTTCAATGTAAGATGAATTTCGATCGACCTCATATATATTTTAACCAAATCGATTGCGGATACTAGAAGGGTTGTATCCGGAAGACTCTGATGAAACAAAACAGATGGAGATTACTGACTACTATTTTCTGACGTCTGAACAACTATCATAATTTCGCTTATGGATCCGGATGTTCTACACACAACAAAAAACTACACACGTATATAGAGACAGATAGACACGTATGATAATTTGATCTCATCATTGAAAATTTATGATAACTGATTACACCATTTCGATTGGTACAAATAATTCCCTACAAGTGACCTACAAACAAGTTTAGTTTGTGTATTTCGACGGTTAACAAAATCTCGGTAGGTCCCCTGGAGAAGCTGTAGCTTATACTTGAAGACCTTCGAGAAGAACCTGTTTTGACTTTCTTAACCCCTTTAGGATTACTTCAATTAGTATTACGGCCACCTACAATAACGTGTTTATGCGTAACTGGTGCAAAGTAATATCAGCTCACTCCACCAAGTATTTCCGAAGAACAGGTTGAAACTTATCGCTCACATGTGTCATTAGTTCGTCCTTCTTAATACTCTGTCATGCGTCCGTAGAAATTAGAAGATATGGAAAAAATTAACGTTTCTGACAATAAATGCCTGCATTCAATCTAACGTATAGAGTGGCACAATGTAGAAAGTAATAATGAGGCCGAGTGTAGGTAAGTGCAGGGAACGGCAAATGATGAGGTGAAGACATACCACTTTGAATGGCTAAGGGGTGTGTTATATTCGCCCAGCCACCGACCTCCTCGACAAGCAATGCTGGCTGATTAGTCTGGAAACGAATCATAACTATCAGATATGGGAAGACTGCCTTATTGAGGCTCTCAAAAGCGCTAAGAATCAGTGGTCGAAGACTAATAGTAACATGGCTCAAAATTGTTCATAATGGCGTTTCTTTTCGTTAGCTCTATCTACGCGTTTAAATGGAGTGTGGTAACTCGAACTGCTGTACTTTTGTGCAAAGTTCTATGCTTATTATTCAGTTCGCGTTACTTTTGCAACTGTGCCAGTAATCCAACGAAGAAGGTTTGTGATATTACTACTACTAGATTACCACCACAGAAAAATTCTCCTGTAAATAAGAAGACAAATCATTTATTTGATAAATCTTTCGTCAAAAACACCATAGAAGTAACTGGAGACAAGTCACTGGATTGTACGATCAAACAGGATAGCTATCTAGACACGACAGGACTAGTTATTCGAAGGCCTGAAAAGGGAAAATATAATATATGCGATTAATCATTGTATTAACCATGATGACTTGTAGTTGCTGTTCGATAAAAAAATTTTAAAACAGAAAAAACAAGTAAAAGCAGTAGAAACTTATATCTGAATACATGCTCTTTCGTCAGAAATCAAAACATGGGGCAAAGTTTACCAAGACAGTGTTGCGAAACGTAGAAGGTTTCCAAGAAGTTAACGAAATACTGGATTAGTTATCTCGACAGACAGCACTTTGCACATGTATCCAACATTTAAATTTTTTGAGTGCTGAAGGAATTACTGTTCTATACTCAATCATTAGCTAGTTATTATCCTTTAGATTATTAAAAAATTCAACAAACGGGACAGGTTACAACCTGTAACTTATTATTATATTACTATTGTGCCCTTAGGCTCCAAGTGAAACGGATTCAACGACACATCTCCAATTTGGTTTATTTTCCGCTCTCCTATCTAGCTAGGCCCACGATTGCCTATAATCTCTCATTTCCTCCATGTCACTGTTGAACTCACGTTGTTTCCCATTTGGGTTCCACTCGAGGACCTGGCGCGCGCATGTCCTATTCATTTCCATTTCCTTCTACATATCAGTTGAGTGATCGGCTCCTGGTTGATATGTTCCCAGTTTCTTGCTACTAATTCTTTCTGGCTACTTGATCTTGAATATGGAGCGAAGGCAGCTGTTGATAAAAGTCTGCAACCTGTTGAGAATGCTTCTCGTGACGCATCATATTTCTGACCTGTATAGAAGAACTAACTTCACATTTGCGTTGAAAATCCGAATCTTGTTCTTTGTGACGCTGAGTGCAGATTTTCAAACCAATTTCAGATTGACGAAGGCATATCTTGCTTTTCCGATTCTAGCTGACTTGGACATCTTCATCCGTTCCGCCTGTGGTTGAAACAATGTTTCCTAGATAGATAAGTGAAGGAAGTAAAATCTCTTTCAAATCTCTGCCATTGGTAGTGATCGGTGCTGGTTGTTGTCGCTGTCGGTCGGTCTTCTGTATGTTCACCTGGAGTTCTGTCTTCACTGTTACCCGCTTCAGCCAGTTTTTCGTGGTTTTCGCCTGCGAGTCTGTGTGACATTAAACATAAAGAATTCACGCGCGAAATCCAGATCTGCTGCAGTCTTTCTAACGGTCCAGTGCAATTCTGTTTTCTCACTCCCCATAATCTGACGCATGATCTAGTCCACCACAATTAGGAATATCAACGGTGATAATAAGCAGCCTTGTCTTACTCCTATGTGTACTTCGAACGCCTCGCTTAGTTTTCCGTTGTGGATCACCTGACTGACATGTGGCATTGTCATATAGTAGTTGAATGTAGTCAACCTTTAACTTAATAACTACAAATTGATCGCTTAAACCAGTGAACCGTTTTCCGACTAGGATCTCGTGATGATCATTTATTCCTGAAATCGACACCAACTTTTTTCAATCTCCTGAAAACTGATCCTATTTTAATTGGAAGCTCTGTCTGAACGTATCAATTCTATTCAGCGCAGTACAAGAGTTTAGTCAGTACCTTTCTCATTTTTGACATTTATCAAGAAGTATTCCATAAAATGAACCGCCAGTAGAATGAGACAGTTATCAAGATGAAGGTATATTATGAGTTACCACTCAGGAAAGATAAAACCACTCGACTGACAAATAGTTGTTTAGATGACGGGGGTACAACTGGTCTGTGCAGCCGAGATTGCACCTGTAAACACAACCACAATAGTAGCACAAAAAACGGAGAAAGGAGGGAGGGGGGGCAAAATCTTTACCAAATCAAAATTTCTATACTGATTCACATCTGCTAGTAAAAGTAAGTAAGTAACGTATACGGTGTAAAGTCGTTGTGTTGATGAAGTCTATCCAAAGCAGCTATCAACTAACCTAATATGTCTGACCACAGGTAACAAACCCGACATTGGTCATAATATAACCGTTAACTAAAGTTTTGTAGTCATTAATAAGCAGAATAACTTGGAATTAGTCGTGTTCTCTGAGTTTGTTGATTTTTATTGTGGAGCTTTCGTCGCCCCCCTTCTGGACAACACCTTACTTCAACGCATGTTTTAGCATAAAATGAACTAACTTAAATTCTCCGCGATTGATAGAATTGTTTCTCCTGGCAACCATATTCGTGAATGGTAGTCGATTTACATCTGTATTGAACATTTTCTCTTGACTTGGAATTTGAAAGTTCTTTGCAGTTAAGGCCAACCAGCTTAGAGAACACAACTAACTTCAAATCATCCACCTGAGTAACAAATTTTCTCTATTATTTCAAGCAGCATAACTAGAAATTGCTTGGATTTGAAGAAACTTGTCTTTAAACGAAAGGACAAAATCTTGATGCAGAGAAAAAGCCGGTGGTTAGGCTAAACTTCCACACGCAACATACTCTCTACTATCATATCGTCCCGGTTTTTCTAATAAAGTTGTTGATTTATTTTGTTATTTGAGTGTTCCTCCCCCTGTCACTTGCCTTATTGCAATCTAAAATCACAACTGGTTATAAACATTGTTTGTGCTCCAGGGAAAATCATTTTCTGAGTTCAACTAAAAATCTTGTTTCTGCGTATTTTAAGTCGACAAGGTTACCTTCAAATAAATATTTTTAAAGTTTCTAATTCTCTAACATTATTCGATGTATTGATGTATAATATTTACGGAAAACATAACCCTTTGTTAAGTACGTTTGCAAAATACCAATCAGTTGATATCTATCATATACCTGCAGCTGTCACCAAGTCTTGATGTATGTAAGTTAACCTTTCAATTTGCTACAAACAATCATACATATGTAGAGTGTATAGAAAGCAACTGCATGTGAATATCGTCCGTATGAGGAGCAGAAAGATATCCGCGGGAAATGTTTGACTTTCAACAGGGGAAAAATACTCCCGCTTCTAACAAAGATAATCTACCTGAGCCGATCCTCTATTTCCCATAAGGATGGAGGGTTAAGTAAGAAGAACCTGAAGACCAGACCTGGATACTATTTTGGCCACGTTAAACCCACTATAGATAGGCTAGTCCCTGCGACAGTATTGAGTGTTACTATTCATAGGTTTTTCAAAGCAGGACAACACATTGACTCTAGAAATGAACAGCCTACAACATCTCTATCACAGTAAAGTCTAAGGTTAGGAGAAATAAGATACAGAGCGATGCTTATGTTCTTAGCGGGGGTAAGATATGTCTGAACTGATAGATGCCCAGCACACTGTGAAGTTGACATCAAGCACATGTTATAATAACAAGAAGACTTTCACATTTTGGAGGTCTTTCAAGTAGTGAAAGTTCTAAGCTTAATGTCGATGGTGTGCGACAACACCAAACAGGAATCATAGTAAGTTATAGTTGGCCTGCTACCCAGTAGACTAACAATCTGAGCTATGTAATTTCTCGCTGGCCTAGAAAACGCGTTTTGTATCTTATTACAGACACATTACATGGTGTTGGTGAGTACTTCCTCTGGTCAATAAGTGCGACACTTTGAAGGGAATCAAATGTGTTCGCTGCTGGATCATCCAGGCCAGTTGAAGTCTTCCTCTAAGTATTTTCTGGTGGACTGTACTTCTACATGGGAGAAAAAGCAGATAATCTACATGCCTACAGAGTGTGAAGCTGAGGTGTTGCCAACCCCAGCCATCGGTAACTGATACGATACCACCGAATAGAATTGTAAAAAGCAATTGAAAATAACAAACAGAGGGTAAATGTAAGTACTAAACAACAAAAGATCTTTAAATGCCGCTAAACAAAAGGACCACCAGATATGAACAAAGTATCAGTTAGGATAAGAGAGTGACATACTTGGCTCAATAATCGTGAAGACGACAGGCTACATTGTTATTACCAGTCCCATTGCAACTGGTGAGCAATAGTACCTACTGAATCAGCAGTTTACGTAGCCTGCAAAACACGATATCGATACACCAAATTATTCAGATGTGATATATATATATATATATATATATAGACAAAATAAGTGTTGGTATTGATTTCCGCCAGAAAGCTCATCAAGGTATTTCACTAGTAAAGACTGAGGTAGTGATTCCATGCGTATCAATACCAGTACAGAGTCTGCCCAAATGCATACGTCTTAAAATGAAAGTTACGGGACCAGCAGTTTATTTCAATTTTGTCGATTTATTTCACAAGACTGAATATTTCGTTTTTGATAACTTCTTCATCAAGTTCTACATTAAGCATCTACAACCTATTTATTTTAATCTCTTGATGCAACGGTTGAAATGCGAGAGTATGAACCAAATCTACACATTAGAGACGAATGTGATATGCATAATAAAAGTGAGTGTAGCTTATTGAATCTGAACTAATTAGTTACCTACTTTCATCTAATGCACTCTGTATTGTATCACCAGTCGTCATAAAGTATGTGTCGCATATATTCCTAGACGGTGAGTTTCATTTGCATTATATTAGTGTTATTTGAAAGGGGAAAAGAGTGAAATCGATATGAAATGCAAAAAAGAGAAAAAAAACTCACTTAGCCCAATCAACTTTTAGTACGACATGGTTATGCCGAAGACCATTAACACCATAAATTGCATTTTTCGCTTGATCTGCTGTTTCGTACGATATGAATGCGAAACCCTGACAACAACACGAAAATAGGCAAGAACAATAAGTATCCAGGTTGATTATTGTCTAAAAACTTCATGTAAATTAAAATTAGAGAAAGAGTAATAAATGCAGAGTGCATATGCAAAAGAGGAAGGAATCCTGTAGCGCAAAGAGAGAACAAATTTACCGTCTAGGTTAACGGGCGAGAACATGTGAAGAGAGAAAGTCACATTTCATGGATGATAACTAATTTCTTTAATGTATAGTGGCTCCTCAAGCTGTAAATATTAACTGCATTAACGGCCGACTAGTCTACAATATGACTTGACGTGTAGGCGCAATAAAAATGCTACACCCTACCTACCAACTGTTGGCAGTTTTTGTCGAGAAGCACAAACTTGGATACTAATATATATATATATATATATATAACTCACTGACCACCTTTTTTGGTTTATCCTGAGCTTTTTAAATACTGACTTCATGACACCCAAAATCCAGTTTCTCGTGGTGGTAATGCAAAAATATGAAGTGATTCATAGTATAACTAAACTACGCTTATAGTAAATATGATGAAGAACTATTACAAATGAGATAGATATGCTACAACGGATATATGTGCAAAACTTCGGCACTATAGTAGCACGTAATTGCATATTAATTTGTTTATAAGACATATCACATAGTGAAACGGCATTAGTTACTGGATGCCGAGGCTTAGAAAACAATTTATTGCTGTTCATAATCATATCAATAATAATTCACTGCGTGATATCGACTGTTTTATAGTACCAATCAATGCTTAGTGCAGAATGGTAAGATCTGTTGGTGAAAGTATGAATTTTAATATCAACTTAAGTAAACAGAAAATGGATCTAGTACAATGATTAGGCCGAACCGTGATTCGAATTCACGAATCATTCATATAACTGTTGGTTGGGAACTAAGTGATTCATATCTCTCTATGCAGCATACATTCGGTTACTCACTGCTCAAGTTATCTTGCTTCACTATTGGTTGCTACCGTGAGAAAAGTGATCATCTTGCACTGTGCCTATTATTCGCATTATGATCATAGTAAGAACTGTTTTGCGATTATTATTTTGCTATTGGCTTCCCCTCTTAGGAGGCACAAAGTTATTCGACCCCCATTCTGCAAGCAGATCAGCCGGAGAGAGGACACATCAGATTCAGAAGCATGTTTATTATAACTGTCTAAAGATTGCTTCAAATGTTCACTTCATTTTTACGTGCTGATACATTTATGATATTATTACTGACGGGCATCTAAAGTAGAGTGTCGGTGGCACGGCGGTAGAATGCTCGCCGACCACGCATGTGGTTCGAGGTTCCATCCCCAGCCGACGCAATCCTTTGCCTAACTAAGCCGGTAGTAGGGCCGGCAAAGAGGGAAGGTTTGTCACGGGGCTAGCAACCCTATCCCGTAAAAGTAAACACCACTGCTACCGAAACTTGAAGCCTCCAGCTTGAAGCCCAATATTCCAGTGGGAACGTAAAGGAATTATATATAAGTTAGAGTTATTCAGTGGCATAAATGTTGACACCACGTTGTGGGATATCGTGTAAATTCTTCTAATAGATATCACGGGACAGAATTTCAATGAAAAGTTACAAATTCTTTTTTTCGATATTAATTTGTTTACAAGATATATCACACAGTGAAATAGTATTATCAATTAATTGATATGCTTATGAACAATAAATTGTGTTCGAAACGCTGTCATCCAGTGAATAATACTATTTCATCACTGTGTGATATATCTAATACACAAACTAATACAGAATCCTACAATGAAAATACTTTAGTGCCACAGAAACCTCATTATAATTAAATGTAACCAGTACACGTTCAAATTAATCTATGCTCTTCTCAACATGGTCACATACTTTGCATTTCCTGTGAAAGATTCTATGCTGATTTATTCGACTAACACTATACGCTCCATTAATATATTCATTCAATCAATAAATGGTGTTTGTTCTTAACTTACATCCCTAAATAATAATTTTTGTTCTAACATTAAGCAACAATAATAATAATAGTAATTTAAAACAGCGAAAAACAATTTACCCTATTTTGTTGAGTTAATTTATCCTTTGCGGGATAGATACGCATCACATGACCAAATGAACTGAATAACGCCTTAAGGTCATCTGCAGTTGTATCCGGAGGTAGATTCGTAACACGCACTGTGTTTCCATCAAATGGACGCTTTTCTGAAGACATGCTAGTGCCTGTTGCAGCTGCATCACCACGTAGAGATGGTGGGATGTAACGTCCAGGGCGATCGATTTGCTATAAAAAAACGACAAAAAAACTCATTGATTTAATGGATTTATTGCATGTAATAAATAACCCATATATCTGAAAAGGAGACTACTCCCAAAGTTAAAAGAGTCCAATGATAAGCTATCGCGGCGAAATGATAACACATAGAAAAGCACATCTGGAAGCTTTCTACCTCGGTAGCAAAAAAACACACTGGTCGCTTCCCATGTAGTCTCTACATTATCATACACATTAAGACATCCTAAGAATGCCGTCGAAGACATTGACGACCCTGATGCTGACTGGAATAACGGATGTAGGTGTTAAATACCTTCACTTTAACGGTGAATTTCGGTACAGACTTCAGGTGCAGAAACGGATTGACTGCTGGGTGATTGATTCGAAACATCTGCGACTCAGCAAATCCGTGACCAACGCATGTTTCCTGCTGAAAAAAGTTGTCTGAAAACCCCAATCATCAAGAAGGTTTAACCAGAGATTAGCCGATTGTTTATGAGGTCTTAGCATAGATGCAAGAGATCAGCCTTACATTACTTAAAATATGATAACGTTATTTACTGTGTTATTTCCTGTTTATTTGCATAATTGACAGTCTTAACCACCCAAATTTATATAAGCACCTGCATGATTTCTTCATTATTATTATTATGACTTGCTAATTCCATATACTTGAATTCTAATCCTATTAGCCACAATGGTAGTAAATTCCTGTTGCATAACTTAGGGCAATGTGGAAAACTTTCATCAAAAGATTATTATATTATTACTACTCCCTTGGGTTCCGAGTGAGACACAGGAGCATATCTCATTTCATTCTGTTCTCTGCAATCCTCTTTAGCTGTTTCCACGACTGCCCGCAAGCGCTCATTCCCTCTCCACATGACCTACTCTATCTCACCCTCGGACGCCCAATTAGGTTGTTACATGATATCACCAGACGGTCTCTTCAGCGTGTGTCCACAATCCACTTTCATTTCCTTGGGCATATTTCTTGCGCTATGGGTTTTTTTTGGTGTGTTGGCAGAGTTCCTTGTAGCTAATCCGCTCTGGTCATCTAACAAATTTGATAGTGAATTAATACTGCTTGAGAATTGCTTGAAAGAAAATGGTTATCCACAAAGCCTCATTGACAAATATGGAAAGAATGAACATACGAAACCTGATGCCCCTACAGTCAGCAAGAAGCCAGTTTTCATTAAACTCGACTTCAAAGGCGATGATACTATGAGAATCATGAATAAAATATTAAGCGCAGCCCTGTACAGGAAATATCCTACAGCGAAAATACTCTCTCGTTGGTGCAGAGATCAATAATTACCCCTTATATGTTACTTTCAACTGCGTATACCCATTCACATGTATCTATGGGAGCAGTTACATCAGAAGAACAGAAAAAAGGGCCTACACGTCAGATTCTCCGAACATGTACCAAGAAGCTTCCAATTAAAGGGCCCAAGCCGCTTAAGCTCTTCAGTTACCAAACACCTGATAGACACTGGACACCGAGTAGACGCCCTGGCATCACTTGAAATAATTAACAGACAAAATAGCTCAGTTCCTCCGTTTGTTGAGGTCATCGAAATAAAACGGCAGAAACATGACTTATGTGTCCAAAATATCTTTCGCTGGACTCCAATTACTCTGGTGAATCATCCCTTAATAACTCTTTGTTTCCTAATTTCATTAACTTATCTTTTCAACGGCCCCCTGCCTCGCTGTTTTTTCTGTTTGACTTCCATAAGAGATAATTTTTCTTGGCCTTATGACTCCTACTCACAATATGACATCACCTTTCTTTCATCTGACCTCTTGCACACCAAATTTTGATATTCTTTTATCTAACTACGTAATTGTTACAATCTAGATATGATAGAGAAGATTTGTAGCTCAGGTGGATGATTTTGATGTGGTTTTGTTCTCTGAGCTCAGAGAACAAAACCACATCAAAATGTTACTAATCTTTTTAACCACCCTAACAAAAAACTTGTCAATCAATTCTCTAAAGACTTCTCTGTGAAAAGATGTGTATATGCTTACACTTCAGCTATCTTGTCATCCTGATGTTTTGCCTCACTATGACATTCTTATAATATGCCTGTTTAAGTTAAATTTCACGCTTTTGTAATCATTAAAGATTAAAGGCTGCATGCAGCTAGTGTGAATCAACGAGAGGAAATGGATCGATGCTATTCTGCACCAATATTTCTTCTTTCTCAGCCCAAATTTATAAAATGGAATTCTTGTGTGATTACATATTGATGGTGGTTTATCTTGCTTTTCCGAGCCTGCCATTAACAGCCTCATCTCCGCCACATATAGTTGAAATGATACTACCGGAGTACGTGAAAAAGTGACTTTGGTCAAATTCTTCCCGCTGACGGTGGTTGATGCTTGTTGTTCACCGTTAGGCATCGCCATCACTTCTGTCTTCTCTATATTCACTTGAATTCCTGTCTATTTTCTTGAGATTGGAATGAATCTTGTCTAATGTTAGCTGCGTCCTTTTGTTGAAACCTAAGTTGCCTTGTTTATATCCTTTTACTGGTACACACTGCCTCGAATCACCAAACCATTTAAGGCGCAAAGTTTGCAAAGAGTTTTCCGTCAACATGCATTCCTCCGAAAGCCTTTCAACACGTGACCAGTTCTCTCCCGGTGTTCTCTGCTCACAGTTTGACTTGCATTCGTATCACTGCCATTTGGTATCTTGACCATTACTACTTGCGGTTATCTGTAGAAGCTTTCCTTCTACTTCTGGTTTGTGTTGGTTGTAGGAAAGTAGCAATAGTTTGGTGAATCCACTTCTTTACCATATCTTCTTATCTTTTTGCGGCCTGAGCAGCCCTCCCATCACAAAACGCCGTGCGGACATTCCATCCCTCCATGCTCATTTATGCCTTCACCGACACATCGGTTGACTGGCTTCCCGAAGGCTCTCACCAGACCGTTTCATTTCGTCTTTCCGATTCCAGAGATGAATAAGTCTATCTTTTATATTTTTCCTGCAATTTGAAGTTTTTTTGCGGTTGGGTTGATTTTCTGGGGTAGGAGGTTACTAGCCCCATGTCCAAACTTTTCTCTTTTTAAGGACTCAGATTCGGTTACACTAGACAAAGTTTTCACTACACGATAATCATATGTTTTATATAACGTCTAGCCGAATGTGAACATAAATAACTACAGGGAGAGATACAGATTTTTCGATCTCATATACACACTAATACTATTACTTACTGGTTCTTTAGCAGATTCTTCTGCAGGTTCAGTTTTAGCCCGAAGTTGTTCTTGCAACAACTGCATTGCTTCCATATCATTTTTATATGGACAGGTACGTGTGAAATGCCCACCCTTACAATAACTGCAAATAACCACTGGTTCTCCGAGTTTAACTTTCACATTCAATTCTTCTTGTCTCTTTTGCTCTTGTTCTGGCTATATAAAGAAAGAGAAATAAAAATAAGAGATCACAGTAGTGGAAAACGGCTGGTTGTCAGTTTTTAATAAAGAAAGCTAGCAGATTCAGTTGTAAATTCAATCGACAAATGTAAAGATTGTTCACATGCAACACCTGACTACTGTTAATCGCCAAATACATTCATTAATTCACAGCACATATACCAAACAGATCCTACTTATATACTTGGTCAAAATATTGTCGACATAAACTAGTGCAAAATAATTCGACTGAGAGAAATATCAACAAGGATTAGACTCTTACTAAGGATAGTTAATTAACTGTTCAACTAATTCAACGGTTAATTTTGCAGAAAAATGAAAACGGGAAGTGAAAACCTATAAAAACTTAACATTAGTATGTGAAGAGAAGACCTTAATCTAAAACATCCACATATAAATACACGCACACACACACACACACCCACCTGTCTTAACTGAACAATTTGCATTGTAACAATATCAGCCGGATAGGTATTAGCTATACTTCCACCTTGAGGATCAGATTTTGAAGCACCAAATTTTTTCCACTTTTTTCTTTCTGCTACTTGAGAAGCAACGACACGCTTCTCTCTGCTATACTCTTTGGTTTCTTTGATTAAATCACCATCTTCATTGTAAAAATATCGAATAGTAGTTTTAATATTCCGTTCAGGATCAAATTTCTCCTCGATAGGAGGAAGTGACGCTGGATCATTACTTAGTTCATCTATCCAACTGAAAATGAAGCAAATACAAATAAAACTAACCAGTAGACAATAAAGTGGGTCTTAGTATCAATATATAAATACATAAAGGATTTGTTATAACGAATGTAGTAAATGTAAACAACATACAAGGACATGGGTAACACAACAAGCATGTCAACATTTGTGCATCAAGGATAACACACTTATTTGTTAAAGTAAACAGGGAACAGTACGAACCCCAAAAGAGGCACTTTATGAAATAGAAAGAGAAACAGAATATATTGAACAAGTACATTCAAAAGGAAGTTTACACTGTTATCGCAAGTAGAAGAAAACTACAGCAAGTTAACAAGCAATTTCGATTTTGAGCCGTATGTCATATGGTTTTAAACCACTAAGTCAAGTGATCCTTTCAGATCCCCACATAGTAGTGATGCAATAAAAAATGGTAACCTAACACAATTGTCCTTCATTCCAAAGTGACCCATCATAGGCTGTCCACATCTACATTATCTCACAAAAAAACAAGGATTATCAAATAATCTGCACACGAAAATCGCCGGATGAAAATTGTAACATAACCGAACCACAGAATTCAGCTTTTCTAAAGGACTACCTATTGATAGATTATTTCCACGCTGTGAAAACACATGGTGTCGGAAGTCAGAATTACTTACACAATTTCATCGAATACAAGCAATTTTACGGAAATAATGGTGACCGAACACGAGGAATTGCAGGTCATACCTACCTCGAAGACCATGGGTTTCACAGAAGTAGAGCATACAAAAGTGTTGCAAACCCGTTCCAACGACTAAATTACCATTATGTATACACTACTGGCTTTTGCTATACAATTTGAAATTTAATTCATCACGCCTGCCAGCCATAATGCAACTGTCTAGATACATGAACTTTTCGACGTTTCAATCGCAAAGGTGAGTGCAAGTACAGGCTTCTGTCACTCTTGCAACACTACTTTCCACTCACCATTCCAACAAACACTAAACGTTAACTGAGACGTAAGTAACAGGTACATTGTGGCATAGTAGAACAAAATCTTCTGTATGTCGAAGGTTGAATAGTTTCCTCCAGGTAAATGATTTACACTGCCTTACACACCTATCAGAATGTCATCTAAGTCAAAGTTAGTAGGGAATGGTAAAATCGGGCAACATTTTCTAAACTCAGTGACAATTATGAACAGTTTGAGTATATTGTTGAAAGCTTTCGCCACAAGTATTTCTTGAAAAAAATGCAGTCTCCTGAACACCCTAAGCAGCAACCTTCGAATGTTTGGCATGCGATTCGCCCTCCGAAAAATGTAAGATGACATTACAGGACCAGAATACAACGACTCCTAGTTTTAAGATAAGAAGCATGTTAACCACTTCCCTTATTTGGGGAGTTGCATCAACCCAACAGGTTGATGACTGAAGAAATCTCAGCACGGATACAGAAGGCTTGCTTGGCATACGCTAACTTATTCTAACTCCGATATAGACGTGAAATCCGGCTATCTACCAAATTACGTGTTTACTGCTTACAAGTCTACTCCGTTCTTCTATATTTCTGTGCGACATGGCAACTGCAAGTGGGAGACATGAAAAGCTCGGCTAACTGTCTTTGATCATAGGTGCCTGCGTTCTATCTCTCATGTTAGGTAGCATGTTAGGGTGAGCAATATTGACATGAGGCATCGGTCGAGTGATAGGTAAGGAGGGGAAATCAATCGATGAGGTTGTGAAGTTACGCCGACTGAGATGGTTAGGACAAGTGTTACGCATGCCTAACCAACCATCTCCTTCTTCGACGAGCAATGTTAGCTGACAGGATGAAATCAGGTTAAAAAAGACCTAGTGGTGGTCAAACGAAAATACGGCTTCATGAGTCAACGAAATCTTTAATAGTCAGTTTGACCCAGCCAAGTAGGGAAGTGTAGACTACCTGACTGCCTGCTATCCTCGGGATAGTAAGAACCTATGAAGACTGGAGACAATTGGTGATGTAGCTCAATATCGTCCTTGTCAATAGCGCAAATGCATTCACTCTTTGTGATCTATCATATCGAGTAAAAATAATGTTCTTCCATATAACTATTCTTTTCGCTTCATATTTCTGTTTACCTCTCTCTTTTAAATCTCTATTTACTCTCTTTCTTGTTGGTACCAACAAGGAGCTTTTCAAATTCTGGCAAATATCCCTTCACTGCATTGACCCAATCTCACGCAATCTAGGTTCAATATATGATAAATGTTAATTCACAATGTTCAGAATTCTACAGAACGTTAATTATGCCCTAGCAAATTCGTTGGAGAATTAGTGTCTCTCCTTAAACTCTGAGCATTTCAAAGCTATTAGACGGAACAGAAGACAAATTTTTAAATTTAAAACGGAAAAGTGAATTTCCGACTTTCTTAATATATTAATTAATATATATTAACAGCTTAAGCTGTTAATCTCTATATTTATAACCGTCGGTATCAAATAACTACTTTAGTTTCAGTTGGGGTTCGTGTTTAACATTGATATTTTTAGTAACAACTTATAATCAACTGGTATCTGAAGCAGGTCTATAAAGGTAAACAAAGATAACAGTTATCTGCGACAGAAACAGAACCGCTTACGATACGGTCATGCTGTTCCGTAAAAAATTAAGTAAGGCGCTTGCGATTCAACTTTTAGGTCATTCACTTAATTAATAATTCTTACTTTAAACTTAAGTTAAAAGTAGAGTATCAAATTTTTAAAGGAGTCATTTTTAAACCGTTAAATGCTGTCATGTTGGAGATGTTCATATCATTTCCCAAAAGAGCCGGTTAAATAGATAACGTTTCAAGGAAATTGCCGGTTCGCTTCCCTATTCTCCCTGCACATTCAGAAACTGATGGTGTTGGATATGGTAGATTTATTGGGCTCCTATTCTTGCTTAAATTCCGTATTTTCTACGGTGTAACTAATAAGTGTCGCATCTTTGAGACCAATATCCACTCCAATATCATTTTTACGAGCTAGTATAAACCAATTTGATTTCTTTCTGCTCGCCCCTTGATTGTGAGGTATAGGTCGCCCCACCACTCGACTGTCGTAGATTTGGTTGACTCCAAAAGAGTTGTGCTGGGATTAGTTATTTGTGGTTTGTAGTATGAGGTGTGTTAAAACTGTCACTACTGTGATTGGAGTTGATCCTTTCACTAGTAAGTGCTCCAGTATCGTCGACAAGAGAAAAGAGATAACAATAGATATAATAAGTAAAGTTATTCAGACTAACAGACAGAAAAAGAAATGAAGAAAACGTAACAACAGTCAGCTGATTAAATCTGAAGAATAATATATATATATATATATATATATATATAGGTAATAATAGTAATAGGTGTAGTAAAGGTTGTCAGGAGAGTAGGACAGGTAAGAATGTAAAGAAGTAAAACAACGAACTTACTTGTTTACCCCTGAGTGGTGTATGGAATTTTAAGGGGATAGGCCATTTGGACGCAGTCCTTGTGTCGCTGCGTGATTGTCCAGCCTTCGCTTAAAAGTATCCACAGACGGTGCCATAGCTACATCTGCCGGTAAGGAATTCCAGGGACGGCAAACTCGCGGTGAAAAGAAGCAGGAGCGCACCCGGTTCCTTGCCCTCTCGTGAGTTATCCTTCTGGGATTTCCATGAGGGAGCCTATACCTACCCAATGGGTGATTCTGGTCATTTTTAATCCTATAGGCGGTAATCAAGCCCGCCTAAGCTTACGGTAGCCAAGTGTGGATAGTATCAGTAAAAAGTTTGAGCATTGTGGATTAGATCAAATATAATTATACTTTAAGTGTGGATAGGCCTAATATTTTTATTCGTTTTTCTTACGGTTTATTTCAAAAACCCATCACTCCTTTTGTCACTCATCCTTGGATTCTTTCCAAGAGGTTGGCGTCTCTTCTAGACAGTAGGGGTGCGATAACATTATGCACTTCAAGGTGTAGTCTGACGTATGTTTTGTACAACCTTAGAAAGAGCTCAGGAGTGAGTGCACCTAACTGTCGATGTGTAAAGTGTATGACCGCATATACCCTCGCTACATCCCCTGTGTAATTTACGCTTGTCTCCATTTTTTCCTTAGCACCTAGACCCAAGTCGCGTTCCGACGTTGTGCAGGACAAGTTTTCATTGAACAGGGTGTAACTTGCATTCTGTAGCCTACAGGTGCGTAACTTCATTACTTTTCACTTTTTGAGGTTGAAAGTGTGCCACTGGCCACCGCCCAGTCTTCCAGAAGGTTTATACCTTCCTGTAGCCCATCAGAGTCCTCTGGACACTTTATCGCCCTCCATATCTTAACGTCGTCAGCGTATAGAAGAGTCTGGCAGCTTAGACGGCATGGTAGATCATTGATAAAAATCAAAAACATCAGTGGTCCTAGGATAGAACCCTGCGACACTTCTGATGACGAGCTGTGCCAAGATGATCGGACTCTATTAACCTTAGTGCAAAATTGTCTTTCAGCTGGGTAGTCCTTTAACCATGACAGAAGTGGCTCACCTATACCTGCCTGGCTTATTTTGTGTAGGGAAAGGTCATGGTGAACGGTGTCAAATGCCTTCTCAGAGTCCAGGAATACAGCATGGACTGGAATATTCATTTCCCAGCATGATGTTCAATCGTCTCAGGGCGATAGTAGATTTGTTACATGGCATCTGCCTTTCCTGAAAAATTGTTAGGCCTCATGGGGTATATTAGACCTGTCGAGGTATTCCCTGGTGTGATCGTCAATAACACTTTCCAGTACTTTTGATACCACTGGGAGTAGAGCTACTGGTCTATAACTAGCAGCATTTTGCCTATCCCCACCCTTGAAGAGAGAAGAAAGGGTGGCTCTTTTCCAATCCCTTGACAGCTTCCCCGAATCCATTGAGTGTTGGAACTAGTCGCACAGGGGCCTACAGAGAGCTTCGGAGCACTGTTTCGGAACAGATGGTCTGATGTCGTCACAACCTGGGGACTTCCCAGTTGTGAGTCACTGTAGCTTCCTTAGTATTATCGCCGGGTTTATTTAGGGAGTAGCCACTAGGTCTCCCCTTTGTGGAATAGTATTGCCACCATTTTTGTCCGTAACGGTAATACCCACATTGGTGTTTAGCTGTTTGGCGAAGGCTGAACTGAATGTTTCAGCCATCATCAGACTAGTGAGATATTGACCGTTTGGGACTACTAAGGCGTATGTCCCCTGGTTGGTTGGTTTTCTTTCCGACATGAATCAATACAAGTTTCCGGGGTTTGCTAGGAGTTTTTTGGCGAGGTTAGCCTGGAATCACCTCCTGTCACTCCTGACTCTCGCGTTGCACCGGTTCCTGGGTCCGTGTATATGAAATAATAATGAAGTCATCAGACAGTAAGACGTTACAGAACCATGGCAAGAAATTTACTCCGGCAGGCAATATTAGTTGAAGCACAATATGTAATTTTAAATTTCTCACTAGCATCAAATCCCATCTCAGCATCTAAGTAAAAGGAAAGGAACTTGTTAAATCCCTTACCTAACCAGGTAGGATGATGTTTGGAGATCTGACGGTCAATATCCCTAGTTATACTCCCAGTGCAACAAGCCCCACAGGATCACCCAAGCTGACAGCAAGGATAATAAAAGTGGAATATTCAATGGGGGAAACAAACAATTAATAATACAATTAATAAAAAACGAAAATTTGCATTGCCTTGTCTCTTTCCCCCTCCTACAGAATTTCTCATCCTTATTCATTTTTAGTTGCACTCTTTTATTTATATTAAGTCGGTCATTTTGCTTATTTAATTTTATTTCAGTTCCCACCTTGTTAAACCTCGCCTATTTACTGGTTAGATTGTTTTCTATCCGGTCTCAACCCCGGGAAAACAGGAAGGATTGGGCGCAAAGTCAGTAACCCTGCCCCGAGAAACCAATCAAACCTCTACAGAAACTTCAACACGCACGAAAAATGTTAGAAACACCAAAAATATATAAAATAAACCCATTCCTCGCTGGAATAAGGAAGGCGAAAAGACGCGTGCCGGTGAAAGCTGTCAGGAAGCCATTCAGCCTATGTGTATTCTGTCGATGTAAGTAAAGATAATAATGGGGACTTGGAGTGTACGTACTATGTACGAGACTGGGTAGGCTGTGCAGAGAGCCAAAAAAACGCGGAGGTATGATATAAAAATGCCGGGTATCTGCGAGAACAGAGGGAATGCATGTGAAATATCGAAGTTGTCAACTGGAGAGTCAGTAATCTACTCCGGTTTGGTCACCCAGAAGACAACCACTAGCACACTGAGGCAATGAGTGGCTATCATAACGTCACCAACAGCAGCCAAAGCACTAATATTCATTTCATTTATGGATTTATTCTGCGCACCAGGCTTTGTGACATGTTTTTATTACGCTCACGTATGATCATATTTCGTTTATTCCTGGCAGCAAGTCTCGACAATTCTGAGTGTGAAGCCTCGTTTTGTTTGCGGCACTTGAAAACTCATAGTCCATCATATTTTCATTCATTTCCTCTTTTTAAACCCGTGGTTTGCGAGTAAACTGTCACACTGCTATTTACAAATGTACCTTACACATCGGATGTACTATAAAATCGATTCCTTCATGAAAAATTGGATTAGTCAGGCTTTATACCTACTTAGTGAAGTATAGGAATTTGTGACTCGTGTTGTTTGTCCTTTTTGGTCCTCTGTCAAGGGATGAGGGAGATTCACAAGGCACACTAAACGAATTGCCTGATGTTAGTGTATCTTACATGGTGAAGAACTCCCGGGCGATCTTCTTGATGTCAGCCGACGTTTTATCCAACTTCCGGCCTTCATTCCTTCTACAAACAAAAGCCAATTTATGTGAGCTGTCACAAACAATTCCCACTGAATCTGTTCCTTGATTCTGTCAACGTCTATTTCATTTATTCCATTGTTACCGAACAGATCCGTCCGAAAACTCTGGTTTAACAAAAGTGTTATGTACTGGTCGAGAATTTAATAGTCCTGACGCAAGAAAGACGGAAATCGGAAGACCACTAGGTTTACGATGATACTTCTATTTTCCAAAACACAATGAGATTCAATATGTCACACAAGTGTGTGAGAGCAAAATATGAATGTCCGAACAAGTGTGTGAGCGAATATTCAAAATGAACAAATCAATAGACAGTCTTAACATGATTGGCTAATCATAATGGAATATCGATCCATATATACATAGCAAAATATATATCAGACTGTCAAACAAACACACATTTTATATGGATACATGTCACCAAGATCAGAGTGTCAAACAAAACACACATATTATATGGATACATATCAAAAAGTACCACAGAGGATCGAAGAAGTTCGTTTCGATTGAGCCTCAGCAGGCTGCCCTTCAAAGACCAATTTGTATATCTTTAATGGAATGAAACACGTGGTGGACGGATAGACTTTCAAGATACATAGGCTCAGCGGTGCCGTTGTGATATGATTGTGTATCTCTGCACTCGATTCATATAATGGTTAACAAATACACCTTTGGTCAGCTGTAAGTGTTGTATTCCCTCTTCACCTGGTTCAGAAAGGTTGATAATAGTTTGGCCACTAGGTTCGGCTGACCAGACCAAAGAGTCAAGTGGTATTGTGGTCGAAGATCGGGCCTAAAAGAATGGATGACCACACGCAAATCACCAGT